AATAAAAAACGGTTCATTCGTTCGTGAGATATCGAAGGAGAAAGAATTTGAAAAAAAAAAAACGTTTTTTTAACATTACTTCGAGATTTCGCAACATAATTTGGTGAAATTTGGAGCGCTTTGCATTTGAATGTAGCGGGAAGTTCCAGGGATGGCCTGCAGGGTCAACCAATTTTTTTCTTATTTTTTCGACATACTGGTCACGATGTTTTCCTTCACCGTCAAGCACGTGATAAATCAGCACTTAAAATTGCATTTAAAAATTTCATTGGTGCCGGCCGGGATCGAACCCAGAAATTTACAGCGGGCGCTTAGTCCCTGAGCCACCACAGCTGTAAAATATTTCTGATACGGTGTTCTAAGTACGTCAACGCGTTGCGGCATCTATCCCACTAGGGCATGTATCCTTTAATTAACCAATGACTCATATTTACCGCTACAGTCACCGTTTTCAGGCAGGGTCGGATCACGTCTGTTACTACGAGTAACGGTTACCGTTTTTGTTCGGTTAACTTTTTATTTGTCAATCGAGTAGTTTAGCAATTACTTGCTTTATGTGGGTAATTAGGATTATAATAAAACATTTAAACTTATTTATATATACTTAAAATTTTAATAAAAACTACTTGCAAGTCGAATTAAAAACTATAATAAATGATTTCCACATAATAAAGTCAGGGCTCTTCTAATTTTTTACTCTATATCTTAGCACCGCATTGATAAACAATGACATAACATGTGGATTTTTCTTCGGTTTGAAGTTGGTGTAAATGTTTTAAGTATTTTTTTATTATTTTTTGAGTAGTTTAAGGAATATTACATGTTCAAGGTTACAACTATAATGACACCTAAATATTAACATTAAAATCTTCAAACATTAGATATTACAATATGAAGGCTCACAGTGGTAATCGAACTCGGGTTAGTCGCGTACCACTCGCGCACCCATGCTGGGTGATTTTTTTACAGTCTGGAAAAAATAGGGTGTAACAGGTGAACCGAATATGGAACTGATATTTTGCAACACATTTGCTTTTAAATTAACACATCGTGAAATTGAACTATCAATAAATACCACTAATTTGAAATAAACTTTCGGTAAAATAAAAAAAATAAAAACAAAAATATTGAACTAAATAAATCAACTAAAACTATCCAAATTAAAATAATACACACCCAATTAGTAGTATTTACTGATAGATCAATTTCATAACATATTAATGTTAAAAAAAATTGTAAAATATCAGTAATCACCCAGTAACAAAAGTAAGGTTAGATGTAATCATTATCCTTCGCATGCATGATGTAATATGACATTTATTCATTTCAATAACAGCCTATCAAAAATCTTTTTACATATTTAATAATTGCCATAGTTGCCACGCTCGACAGTCGACTTGGCAACCGCAGTTTTTTTATTATTTTGAGCTGTCTGGAAGATGATGCTGCCCATCTACTGTCTCATATACCTCTGTCGCCTCTTACGACACCCACGCCATGAAAAATACCTACCTAGTGTATTTTCATACGCCGCCTCTACGCATAGTATTTGACGACTATATTAATACAACTATGCCGCTAATTACTCTTAAATACACTTCAAGGTACGAGCGCTTTTCCTTCACCCCAGCTAAATACTAGTTCATACTACGTTTTATAGGTAATAGCCATTCTGCAGTTACATATATTAATAGTATAGTTGGAGCATGAATGGGTGGGCTCGACCGGGGAAGGACCACGCTCTCACATAATACAAGCGTAAAATAGTAGCTGTGTTTCGTATGGTGAGTGTAGAGAACCGGAGATTTTTTTACTGAAAACGAGGAATTCCATCTTAGTCCTCATGGACAACGCATCTGCATTTTGATTCGTAGTCGAGGATAGATGTAGATTTCTTTGAGCCACAGCAACCACTTACCATCAGGTGGACTGTGTGCTCGCTTGTCACCCCATTTTATAAAAAAAAATATTTAACTAGTTGGATTTGTTAAAGGAATAACAACTAGAAATTTCTCGAGTGTATTACCTTTTTTCCATGCGCTAGTAATTTATTAGAAAGCGAAACGACTCGATCGGACCGTGGGGCGCCATCATTCTTTGTTGCTAGGTTCGCGTATGTAGGCACTATCCAGAATATTAAGCGGTTCCGGTGAAAATAGCTTACGTTACATAACACCTGTCGCGTTGTTTGCAACATAGTTTTGAGTCGAGTCACAATTGATAGGTTATGTGAACGACTTCAGTGTTACGTTACTTGAACGTCTATATTAAAGTGCCATAATGTTACAAAGTTTTTTTTAATAGAACCTGGTATTCGGCCCGGCTTCGCACTGATTGATTTCTTGATCTCGACAATAGTGCCGGGTCTAATTGTTAAGCTAAACCATCCCCAGAGTAATTTCAATACACACAAAAAATTATTAAAGTCGTTTTTAAATAGAATGAGGGTGGTAAACGAGCACACAGTCCATCTGATGGTAAGTGGATGCTGTGGCCTATATACATCTACATCTATTTTCGATTACGAATCATAATGCAGATGCGTTGCCACCCCTGTGGACTAAGATGAAATGCCTCGATTCCAGTAAAAATGGTTTCCGGTTCTCTACACTCACCATACGAAACACAGCAGCATTGAGCTGCTATTTGACACTGGTATTCTGTGAGAGCGTGGTCCTTCCCCGGTCGAGCCGACCCATTCGTGTTGCAACCAAAGTATAGCTGCAGCGTGGCTCTACCACGTCGGTCCAGCCGTTCACGAGGAGTTCAATGAGAAACATACGTACCTACTAAAGAATTATATGTATAGAAATTTAAAAAAAAAAAACTAAAAAAAATTTACTCGTTGGTGTGACTCCTCACTCTTACCTACTTTGCCGTAACAGTGTTCGCACCGCCGTGTTTCGGTCTGAACTGTCTGTATAGAGAGCCAGTAGTCACAGACTGTGAGGCATTCTAACTTACTCCTCAGAGATGGTAACGCATCTGTATAGTTCTTTGTTTGATACCTGATCTTGAAGGTAGCGCAAAAGTTCTTTTAGTGATTTTTCTTAATCTGCCAGCGTCTGCCTTTCTCTATGATTTCTTATATTTACGCGAACAATACACATTTAAATAAAACTAGATTTTTTACGGATAACGAACATCCTAATTTCAAAAGTGAAGATGGCTGGGTGCTACCGTCTGTTTGGGATCATATATTTTAATAAATTTGAATCCCAACCCAAGTATACAACTGCAAGACTTCAAGATAACTATAAGTTCATACTGCGTAGATTGAAACAAAAATAAATAATTTCATCTGGAGTTAGTGGTTAACTACAAGTTAAAACTAGTTTTATTTAAATCTGTCTTTCTTATTAAAAAATTAAATTCTATGAAACCAACGGGACGAGATGTAGTTATGGACTCTTACATCGCGACCGTAGTTTCAGTATAAAAAGTAGTAATTAAAAAGCTACTAACACTGTATTATTTGCATCGCATTAATTTTCTGTCGAGGACAGATAATAATACAAATATTAGTGTTGCCAATACTGAATATGCTAAATAATGTTATTGGTTTTATTTTTGGCATACATTCATCATACGCATTTTGAATATGACATACTTTAAACATACAGACACGTAAAACAAGTTGTAGGTCATACGAATACTTGTTTGTTGCGGGTTTCGAATACGTGACCCCCAGCGCCGCAGCTCAATGCTAAGTCACTGCACCACGGAGCCATCAAAATGGTGGCATCTCATGGTAAGGGTAGATTATAAATATTTATTTAGATTATAATAGCCTTATTAAAGGTAAGGAGGTATTACGTCTTAGTATTCAGGGGTGTGTAATAATGCATCTACATTTTGATTCTTAATCGAGGATAGTTCTAAGTGTCTATGAGCCACATCCTAGGTTGCCAGATAGTCGGGATTCGTCTGGATTCTCCTCTCTACTCCCTAAAAAACTCAAAATCTATCAAAATAGTTCCTCGGAAAGTAAACGTATGGCCTTTGATTCAATAAAAGCTGAGTTAATAACTAGACTAACCTTTGAAGTAAATTGTTTGAATTTTAAATCTTTTCTGAATTTACTAAAGGATCCAAATTGGCGGAGTCTAGTGAGGTCCAATGCTAAAAACATATTGAAACCTAAAAATTAAGTGTACTTAGTTAAGTTAGTTTTGTTTAAAGTACTTTTTGTAGTCTCTTAATTACAAAAATAAGCTTTTTATTTTTAATATTTACTTTTCCCGACAAGTCCACCAATTGGTCCCTCCGCCACCACACACTTACATCGTAACTGTGTACTACTTATAAATGTATTGTTTGTTGGTAAGTAGCTACTACAGTCCTTGGCCACCTGAAGCTAACTTCAAACAAGAGGCTACAGTTCGGTTGTCACCTTCAAGAGCTTAGATGGAATGTCTCACAGCGTTTAATACATTGCTCTCTGTAGGTACCTTCAAACTGGAACACACCAATGGAAGCACTGCTATTTGGTGGTAAAATAGGAAAGAGGGTGTGGTGGTAGTGGTACCTTCCCAGTAAGACTCCTGGGCAGATAAAGGGTCCGACCACCTAGTACATACTTATGCTATTGGCACACAACAGAGCACAGATTAGAGGAAAAAAAGAAGAGAAATATTATCGTATTGCATCTTTAATCGGAGTATTTTAGAAAGTTCTGTAAGTTATTACTCTATACAAATAAAGCTGATTCTCATAAAATAATAAAACGTTTGACTTTCGACGTGTACACTCACCTTTAAGAGTATACAGTATCACATAGTAAACAACTATTATACAGCGAAACACTGGCTCACCCATTCACAGAAATATCATCACTTTAAAAACATGGACATGGCTCCAACGAACATTGTAAACACTTTCGCCTGACTAAAGTTACGCTCTTCCCTTTTATCTTAACAACTTTAAGCACTGGCTATCTTCAAATACAATTTGCACGCTGTAGCGAGTAGTTTGAACTAAGTTACGGTTATATTATTCAGTCACGGGCACTTTCTTCGGCGGTTCGAGCACAACTCCTCATGTAGGCCGTTTACCAGTGAAATGGTGGGAGGGTCTTTACTATTCTTTAGATCCTTCTTGGGTGTACAAGCATGACGGAAGTCAGGTAATGCATTTTTGTAGTATTTGATGAAGGAACGTGATGGAGACGACCTTCTAATAGGAGTAACAGAATTTGACTTCGCACTAATTCCAAAATTTGCGAGGATCATTATAATATCTTTAGGTTTTATACAATACATGTTAAATAAATTTTATACAACATCTTTTCTCCTAAATTCATTAATTAATGCAAGAATTTATGCAATCATTAAAAAAATATGACTGTGTGTCACAAATTTAATTAGTAAGTACTGGCTGTGCCCGTAACTTCGTACGTGTAAATACGAGGTAAAACTTCATTTTTATTGGAATATTGGACCAAATAACAGGGTGCAGTGATTAAAGTGTGAGGGATCTTTCTACGTGGGGAAATCCTCATGCATACACGGCCGCATCCCGAGGCAAGTAGGTTGGTTTTGTCGGACTCCCGACATTAGTCTACCTCAGCGCCAAGGTGGGGCTCTCCATACGGTACGCGACTGCGGTCACTACACCGTTAAGTTGTTAATTCCGCCCATTTTGTACAATTAGGAAATTGTCAGATGTTCCCAATGTCAATTCTCCTGACAATCATAGCGGTGGCTCTCGAAGGCTCTACCCCCGCAAAACCGCTGAACACTATTACTCAAAACTGTTACCAAACTGTCCGATGTGGCGATCGTCAATCTGACTGAAGTCGCCTGGCAAGCTAGACGACAGCAGACATTCCCTATTTGTGAAAGACAGTCAAAGTGTTATTATTTTTCAAAACCATTTCCTAGATTTTTGGTAGAATTGTCTCAAGTTTCACAGACTGACTGGTTCACTACATTACCGGTATATCAGCTCTGCGCTCACCAGTTCGCCTTCTCTGTCTCAGGGTATCCTGAGAGTGAACCTTCCTAGAAATGCATGTCATCTGGCAAATTTTTCAAAAAGTTTTATGTCCACAGCGGGCTTAGAAAGGCTGTTTAATACGAAATTTGATAACATCACATTAAAGACAATTATCGGAAGTGCATTATATAGCGAACAACTGTTCGTATGATCTATAAATAATAGATCCAGGTCGAGTTGTATGTCATTCTTGTGCAATGTTAATAGAACATCGCGGTAAAAGAGAAACTCGATATGTATTAGCAACGTCATTTCAAGAAAATGAGCATTATTAATTTTAAACAAACTCCATTTCAATTCGTTGACGAATAACGGAGTGAAAGTATTCATCGGTGAGTCATGAACCGAGGTTTACCGCTACTAAAGTAACCGGTTCGTTCAAGGAAATAACTTCAAATATTCCTCCATAGATGGCGGTCATAATTGTTGTTGTATGTTGCAACGGGTTCGCTATTTACATAAAGAACAAAATTTCGATATATCTTCACGTTTTGAGATCCACAGAGTTCTATTTTACTGTTTTTAAAAGGACGTTTGTATGTCAGTGTATGCTGTACGGACCATCTACTCCTCGTAATCGTGTGCGTGTGTGTGTGCGCGTATGTGTGTGCGTGTGCGTGTGCGTGTGCGTGTGCGTGTGCGTGTGTGTGTGCGTGTGCGTGTGCGTGTACGTGTACGTGTGCGTGTGCGTGTGCGTTTGCGTGTGCGTGTGCGTGTGCGTGTGCGTGTGCGTGTGCATGTGCGTGTGCGTGTGCGTGTGCGTGTGCGTGTACGTGTGCGTGTGCGTGTGCGTTTGCGTGTGCGCGTGCGTGTGCGTGTGCGTGTGCGTGTGCGTGTGTGTGTGCGTGTGCGTGTGCGTGTGCGTGTACGTGTGCGTGTGCGTGTGCGTTTGCGTGTGCGTGTGCGTGTGCCTGTGCGTGTGCGTGTGCGTGTGCGTGTGCGTGTGCGTGTGCGTGTGCGTGTGCGTGTGCGTGTGCGTGTACGTGTGCGTGTGCGTGTGCGTTTGCGTGTGCGTGTGCGTGTGCGTGTGCGTGTGCGTGTGCGTGTGCGTGTGCGTGTGCGTGTGCGTGTGCGTGTGCGTGTGCGTGTGCGTGTGCGTGTGCGTATGCGTGTGCGTGTGCGTGTGCGTGTGCGTGTGCGTGTGCGTGTGCGTGTGCGTGTGCGTGTGCGTGTGCGTGTGCGTGTGCATGTGCGTGTGCGTGTGTGTGTGTGTATGTGTGTGTACGTGTGTATGTGTGTATGTAAACCTCTCATAATTTTTGAACGGCTTGACCGATTTGCACGAACTTGGTGGCGTTCGAAAGAGTTCCACCGAACTTAGATTTTCAATGCAGTTTAACCGATTTGGACCGGTTAGATTTTAAGTAAGTAAGTAATCTTAAAAATAAAATTTTTTTTTTTAAGATTACTTAAAATATTTGTATTTTTATTTATTTAACACTTAAATGTAACATTTTACATTTAAGTTTACTTTAATGGTACATAGGGCGGGCTTAATGCCATGTGATATTCTCTGCCAGTCAACCCTGGGCGCCAAAGACAATTGTTGGCAGGTGGAAACATAATACGTAATAAATAAAAAGTATCTAAATATAGTGAAATATATATATACAAGGTACATACATACACAATACATTTAAATATACACACGTATAGGATAACGCACTTAACGGGAACCACAGGGCGGTTTTGTTACATGTTGTATATACGTGCTTGTAAACTTTGTAAATAAATATCCGTATAAATGATATATAAAATATAATGTTTTAATAATGAATAATGAAATAAATATTTGAAGTAAAAAAAAGGAAAAGTAAAATAATAAAGGAAAATAATGTCAATTAGTAGTTGCCCTCAGGTAATGTTGTCGTAGAAGAACTTTGAAGACTTTCTTATTTGTAGGCATTCTTGATATCATTGGGGAGGGTGTTCCATGTGTATATGGTATATAGCTTTTATCGTAAAAGACGACCTGAAAAACCGATTTTGATGTAATCTGTTGTAATAGACGACTGAGGACAGACGTATGCTGTGGAAACCTTAACCTCAGACGGTTTGACTGTAGGGATGTTCGACCGTCGCTCGAATGAAGAAAATGAAAATTATCCTTAAGGGTACACTAGTCGCTTATTCTTCCATACAAACGTAGTCCGGCGATTCCTCCACTGTTTGATGGTGTACGTTCAAAATAAAAAATGATTTCAATTTGTCTCATCATTATCTAGCCCTGTATGGAAACAAAAAAGTAAAAAAAGAGTATGTTTAAAAGTTATAAGCGTCGAAAATTCCGAATTTCAACACTAGTTCACACACATATTTAGGCGGAAATAAATGAAGAACGAAAATTGCAAAACAGTTACCATACAGGGATAGATTAGTTGTTCAAAAATGCAAATAATTTTATTTTAAACAGATACATTCAATAGATTTTTCGTGACATCCAGACTACCAAAGGTCTGTTTATAAAATTTCGCGCGCCCGTTTTTGTTATAAAATATCTTGCCTTTCGCTACAAATTGTTGCCCCGATCAGTGGGACGGACGGAGGGGGCGCAGCGCGCACTCACACATACTAACTAGGTTAGCCGCTGCTATCTATTTATGGTTGTAATACCTACATATCTACATCTTTATTTAGAACAATGGCTTCCTTTTGTTCGTGTCCATTGCTGAAGCCGGGATGAATATAGCTGCTAAAATGTGCCCATAAGTTTGTTGAAGCACATTTAGTTAAAATTGTAAACAGGTAGGTACATAATAACGAACTTTCGATACAGGTTGATTTTATGTTATTCATTGAGTTATACAACTATTATAGTGTTATTATTCAAAAATGAATCGCATAGGTAGGTACGCGATGACGCCGTCTCGCATTGCGTCACGAGTGCGTATGTGTGTGCGCACTATCTTCTTACTGCTCATCACAGCGTCTATCCTTTTCGCACGTGATGTCGGCTGAGATAGCATGCATTTTTACCCCGACCACCACTTATTTCGTGCCATCGACTAGAGCAACCTTAAGATAAGAAGGCGACCTTGGATCGTTTAAAATTGAATAAAGTACAAGTAAAATTTTAGAGCATCGCCTTTGACGTATAGGTAGCCATTTAAGCTTCGAACTATAGGATGATATGTATACTTACGTAAACAAAAAATAAACCTTATTAAGAAGGATTTACTTCAAAATTTCTGTTCGGATAGTTTTTTATGTAATGGGTTAGCTATTAGTTTGTAAAAATATTTGTTCGGCATTTCGAGATCGAACATAGGGGGAAGTTCTAGGGATGGCCTACAGGGTCAACCAATGTCTTTTAATTGGAGAGAGTTAAGATTAACGTATTTTCAAAGATGAAATAGGATTCAATAATATGTTACCGGGAGTTTGCACCAACGTATTCATTTTTGTCCCACTCGTATTACGTACCATATCTATTATGATCAGTTCATCACGGCATGATGTAGGGGTAGTGGATTTTCTTACACCGCAATCCGCAACTCCACATTTGAGCGATCGGCCCTGTACACTGAACGCGCTCTCACTACAATATATCGCATAGGAAATACGCCCAAATTTTAAAATATTTTCTCATAAAATCGTAACGTTTGCGGATGTTGCTCGAAAATCTTCACAACCTGTACCCTCTTGTGGTCGAAAACAAAATAATGGGGATGTAAGATCAGTTCCTGTGGTGACCCGAAACAATAGAGATAATGACGGGTTTACTCTTGTTGAGAAGAGACGTCGGTCGAAACCCGTCGTGGGACCGCTAAAATAAACGCAAGCACAACTCTGCGTATTGTGGAGCCTACCATACAGCTCTACATCTCCCGTTTGAACAAAAGTACGTCGGGAGAAGACGTCATGCGTTTCGTGGAAGAACGAAGCCGATGCCGCATAGAGGATCCGATCTCTTTACATTTGCAGCGTCTGGAGTCTAATAGGTCAATGAACTTCAAATCCTACGTACTCCAAGTTCCTGCAAAACACAAAGAGACATTCCTTGCTCCCGATTTCTGGCCATCTGAGGTAGTGTTTCGCCGATTCAGGGACGCGCCAAAGAAAAAAGTTCCCTAAATAGTGTTATATTTATATTTTTACGTTAAGGTATATATTGCTATGGGCCAATGTTCTTAATTTTTAAGTCCTTGATGCCTGAAATAAAGTTATTGTATTGTATTGTAAAAAGTAAAAAACAGTAAAGTTACAGCCTATATACGTCCCACTGCTGGGCACAGGCTTCCCCTTATTTCTGAGAGGGCCATTAAGGATTATGTTAGACGAAAACACGATTTCGTAAAATTTTCTCCATAGAAAAAAAATCCAAAGTTACCTCCAAAATAAACAATGCTGTTATTCATAAAATACTTTAAATAAGATCATGAAACTTTGCATACTAACTGAACTAACTATAAAGCAGTGCTTATGTTATTTACTTTTTTTTAAAATACCATTATTTTCACTGTAAAAAGAAATTACCTAAACTATCGGCCTCTTGAAGCGTGATTCCTGCCGCACGGTCACTTCGCTTCGGCCTTTGAAGGGGGGAGGTTGTGTCGCTTACGATCAGAATATACATTACGCAACAGGACGACGTAAAATTAAAATGGGAAATAACCGTAATAAAAATAAGAAGCGGCTGGCTTGGCGTTAAGAAACAGGCATAAATATGATAAACCTAATGAAATAAGTGTCTAACGACCTTTCTACTTACAGTATTAGTGATTACAAACATGTCGGTACATAGCATACGACGCGCGGGCAAATGGGGACGAAATTAGAATTTGAGCTGACTTACTATATCCCCTTAATATATTAGTTATAGTATTCGACTTTGTGTTTTTGTCTCTGTCCTTCTCCTAGTTTTGGTTTTATAGCGCGGCAAAGCTTAATGTGACCATGTGTGTCTGTGTGAGTTTAATAAATAAAATAATCGTTCGGGACTTTTCTAAATGCCTCCTATCCCATTTGCGGAATTCTTCCCTTATCCACTTCTTTGTTTAAAAAAATAATGTACATATAGTTTCTGGTAATGAGAAAATAATTGCAATTGCATTAAATCGTGTAGAGACGACAACACTATAATGATTGAATACACGGAATATTGTAAAATGAACCTATGCATCAGCGTGAGTTTATATAAAAATACGTACAAATACACATAGTAAATCTTTACTATGCGTATTTACGTGAAGGCCAAGCTATTATAAAAATGGCGTAACGGCGATTACCAAAAGAATAATGACGATATGTGAACTTGAAAGAGAAAGCGTTGCGTTGTCGTAAAGCTATCCGGGAAACAAAACCTGTTCACGCCTAGATTCTACTTACGCTAAGGTTATTGCCCTTTATTTAATACTACTTGCAAGTGTTTTGGTTTCCTGTCTTACGTAAATTTTATCATTAATATTTTCGACATGTTTTAGGCCGGTCACATATCGTGTGTATACGACCGGCCTAAAACGAATCGGAATCCGGAATCGGAATTCCGAACGCAGTAAGTTTATATAAAATCAATGATCCGTCTCACACCTACGTTATTTTTCCGTTCGAAATTTCGCGGACAAAACATGATTCCGTATGATTGTGACCGATCCGTTCGTTCCGTTACGGAATTCTGAAACGGAACTACGTTATGTAAAAATGGGGGAATTAACGTTTTCACAACAATATTTTTTTGGTATCGTTATACTTTTTTACAGAAAAGGGGTGACAAACGAGCACTTTATTCACCTAATGGTATGCGTATGCAGTGGTCTACTTACATTTATATGTATCTATCCTTGATTAAGAATCGAAATGCAGATGCGTCACCCCCGAGGACTTAGATGGAATGTCTCCTTTCCGGTAAAAAAAAAACATATAAAACTTGCCGCAACTTAAAAAGATATACCTACTACATCTCGCTTTTAAAACGATTTTCCGTGTCATTTTTATTAAAAATTCGCATATTATACTTTAATAAAAAATATGAGGAGCAAACTACTCTTCATAAAATTTTGAATCAGTGTGGTGATGGCGTGAAATAATCAAACACACATTTCGTCAAGCAAGCATCGTAAGAGGCGAGAATGGAAGTTCAGAACGGACCAATAGTTAGCGATATAGCCGTTTTGTAGTTATCTGATCAAAAGTACTCAGACCGATGATGAAGATCAGTGTCAATGGTGCGTTACGTCTTGTACTGTGATTGCTAATTCGCTTGCCAAGCAAGGTCATTATGAATATGAAACACCCACCCTGTTGTGGTAGAGACCATCTTAGACTCTACCACAATGGGGGCAATAAGTACATCTACGTTTTGATTCTTAATCGGGGGAGGATCTGGGTGTCTCTGGGTCACATTATTCATTCATTCACTGTCCTTGATTCTATAATAAGGAACCTTTTGTTCAGTAATGGACAATCACGTGTTAATAAAGAAAGAAGGAGAAAACGTGTACTTATATGTATCTTATAGAAAGTCCAAAGAATCAAAGTTCGTTTTTTGAAATGGTTCAGAAATATACTTATATTGTTTTTTATTTTTCTTTAGGCAGCTGTTTCGGCTCTACCCGGAAGCGGACCATAGTGGGCGGCTATGCCTGGGCCTGGTGGTTGGTCACGGATGTGCAGCGTATCTCCCTCGAGGTAAACAAAATTGCTCATAATTTCGTTGTCTATTCTAATGACATTTATTTATTCATTACTGCCTATCATAGGTCCACTTCTGGACATAGCCCTCCCCCAAAGGTTGTCTCATAGGGAGTTTATTTATCATAGTACCACGCATGACGGGCGGGGCAACAATCGCAATTTTATTTTTGTTACGTGACTCTGGACCGTTCTTTATGGCGTGACCACTGAACCAACGCGGCAATCAAATATATATATATATATATATATATATATATATATATATACAATGTCGCCCATCGGCAAGTGACCGCCCGGGATATTCTGCATGTACATGAAAAATTATCGGTAAAAAACCTAAAAAGGGGGGGTCTATCTTAAATACTTTTTAAGTTATTGAATTTTTAATTTTTTGAATGATGTTGGTCACCTTGTTCCACACTTTTTGCTCTAGCTCCAATGCTACGGGCACGATTTCGATTCTGTTTTCTTATTTCATCAGGTTAATAAGTTGTTTTGTTGGATTACGTAACATTTTTAGTTAAAATAAGGCGAATCATAAAAATAAACGTAGACAAAGACATTTTTTCTAAGCAAAAAAAGTGATATTTATTTACAAAAACACGTGTAAGTACATAAAATGCCCCCTTAACATGGGCTTTTTACTCATTATTAATAATCTAGAGCATAACTACTACACATTTACAATACACTATCAATATCTATCTCTTAAAATTTTTTAATAACAGCGTGTCAAAAATTTGCTCCATATCAAGCAAAAAAAAGGTCATCCAGGTAGAAACCGGTTCTTAGAGACCGCTAGATAACGCACGTGCGCACTCTTCTCGGTTGGTTGTTTGTGCATCATTCAGTCGCTCGATTACTGATCCCGGGACGTTACGTGTTTTTTAATTTGTGCGCTATTTATCTTTTCGAGGACCATTCCTGTGCGTTTCAAGCATCGTAATGCTACGATTGCGTGATTTACCGCCTTCTCACGTAGCTGATATGCATTTTGTATACGGTTTTTGTGATGGGAATGCACGTTCTGCTGTCGAAGAGTACAAACGTCGTTATCCAGGTAGGCCAGTACTTGGGTACCGGTCCTTCATTGCTGTGCATCGTCGTTTTTGTGAGCAAGGACTTCCACGACAAAATGAGCCTGGCGTGGCACTTCACGTGGACATGGAAGAGGAAGTGTTAAGATTAGTGCGCGCTGACCCTATGACAAGCATTCGTCTCTTGTCAATAAGACTGAATGTACCAAGAATAACAATCTGGAGAATTCTTAAGAAAGAAGGCCTCCATCCTTATCACTTCCGGCGTGCTCAACATTTGGAAGATGTGGATTACCGTGCGAGATCTGTGTTTTGTAGCTGGATTTTATCGCAACAAAGAACCAATCCTGAGTTTCTAAAGAAGATTTTGTGGACGGACGAGAGTACATTCACAAGGGCGGGTATTACAAACCACCGAAATCTTCATGTCTGGGCCGCTGAAAACCCACACGTCAGAAGAAAAACATCTTTTCAGAAAGAATTTTCTGTTAATGTATGGGCTGGAATAATTGACAATATGCTCATTGGCCCTTACGTATTGCCTCACAGGCTAGATCAACACGCATATTTAGATTTTCTCCAAAATACGTTGCCCTCACTTTTGGATGAAGTGCCGCTGGCAACGAGAAGAAGAATGCATCTGCAACTAGACGGAGCCCCAGCACATTTCGCACGACTAGTGCGAAATTATCTGAATGAAAATTATCCGCGATGGATCGGTCGAGGAGGCTCCGTTGCTTGGCCGCCGAGATCGCCCGACCTGACACCCTTAGATTTTTATTTATGGGGATTCATGAAACAGAAGGTGTATGCCGCGCGCATTGAAAGCCGCGAACAATTAACGGCTAGGATTTTTGCTGCCGCAGAGGAAATTAAAGAAAATCCTGCAGAATTACTGCGAACAACCAATAGTGTAGCCACGAGGGCTTTTATTTGCTTACAGGAGGGTGGGGGCCATTTTGAAAACTTAATTAATTAAAATTGTTGTTTTTTTAATCATGCCTGTTATTTTTATTATAAATAGGCATTTCTGCATTAATAGTTTTAACTCTATGTCGCCATGTCGTCCGCATCAATTATTTAAAGGGTGCGCACGTGCGTTATCTATCTACCGGTTTCTAGGAACCGCTCTCTACCTGGATGACGATGATGCACAGCAAGGAGGGACCCGTTTTTGACACGCTGTTATTAAAAAATTTTAAGAGATAGATATTGATAGTGTATTGTAAATGTGTAGTAGTTATGCTCTAGATTATTAATAATGAGTAAAAAGCCCATGTTAAGGGGGCATTTTATGTACTTACACGTGTTTTTGTAAATAAATATCACTTTTTTGCTTAGAAAAAATGTCTTTGTCTACGTTTATTTTTATGATTCGCCTTATTTTAACTAAAAATGTTACGTAATCCAACAAAACAACTTATTAACCTGATGAAATAAGAAAACAGAATCGAAATCGTGCCCGTAGCATTGGAGCTAGAGCAAAAAGTGTGGAACAAGGTGACCAACATCATTCAAAAAATTAAAAATTCAATAACTTAAAAAGTATTTAAGATAGACCCCCCCCTTTTTAGGTTTTTTACCGATAATTTTTCATGTACATGCAGAATATCCCGGGCGGTCACTTGCCGATGGGCGACATTGTATATATATATATATATATATATATATATATATATATATATATATACGAGCCCCGCCGGCACCAATGAAATTGTTAATTGCAATTTTAAGTGCTGATTTACCACGTGCTCGGCGGTGAAGGAAAACATCGTGAGAAAACCTGCATGTCTGAGGAATAAGAAAAAAAATATTTCGAAGACATGTGAAGTTCGCCAACACGCATTGGGGCAGCGCGGCTGACACTTCCTTGCCCTAAAACCCCCTCAGAAATGAGGGAGGCCTGTGCCCAGCAGTGGGACGTATATAGGCTGTAACTTTACTTTACTTTTATATACACATATATATATATATATATATATATATATATATATATATATTAATAATTACGCTATGTATTTTAATGCATCTAATATGGCAGGTCATGACACTGAATCCGATGTGCGAGTACGTGGAGACCGCACAGGGCGTGCCACTAACGGTGACCGGCGTGGCCCAGTGCAAGATAATGAACGAAGACGAACTGCTCACCACCGCTTGCGAGCAGTTCCTGGGCAAGAGCGTCAAGGAGATCAAGTCCACTGTTCTCCACACACTGGAGGGACATCTGAGAGCTATTCTCGGTAAGTTTGCTATTAACGAAGTGACTACGAAATCCGAAAATAGTAGAAGAATAATATTATCAAAAACATATCGTTATATTTTTCTTATTGTAACTAGGTATAATAGTTTAGCGCCACCTAGTGGTCATGCGTCGTATCATCACTTTTATGTTTTACAAAGTGTGCTTAGCTAATACCAAAGTATCTTACTAGATGTCGCTTTAATTTTATTGAAATTCAAAAGATTTTGATAATTACTCAAATCGTATTGCGTCATTACATGAAATTACATAATATAGGTATAATATATATGTAGTATATTTATTTTCAAATTCTGATGATGCGTAATTAACCAACGTGGATTTATGTATTTTACGAGTATGCCCATGTAAGCCAAGTTATTGTGTTGACCTATTTATTACCTCAGACTCAGACAAATAAAAATGTTTATTACATTACCTATTTCGGCTGAAAGAGCACACTAACGTTTTTAATCCACTTTGAAATGTAAGGTACCTACCTAGATATAAAATTAACAAAGTGGAATTTAATATGTTGATTCCTCAGCTGTAAATTATTTTCGCTTTTGATTAAAATTCGTTTTTAAAACTTTAGTCAAAATAATATTATTAATTTAAAATTTTTTTATTTATTACTAAAATTATTTTGACTAAAAGTTACAGAACGCTCTATTGCAATAAGTATACCTTCGCTTGTAATTACTTGCAAGATTTTTTTAAAGAAAGAAGTTGCAACTAATCTATGATAGTTAGATAAATTGTGTCGTGGACTTCTTTTGAAGATATTGGTAAGAAGGCCAATTCGTTTGTAGAATTTTGTTAATGGATTTTTAAAATAGAATTTTAATGGAATAACACCTACTTTTACTTACGCCTACTTTTCATAAAGGACGAACTTCGACTTTCGGCCCATATGTTGCTTGCCACAAACCTGTTGTCCCCCTCTCGAAAGTAGAGCAGATGCCCCGATTGTCGTTATTACGTCCTCCCCCTCTCTTTGGACTTCACTTTATCCTACCATACGGCATCGTATGTTTTCGAGCTGAGCTTCCAGTTCGCAAATGTTGGCGAGCTCAGTGCCAGACACATCGCACCTGTAACTAGTCTGCTGCCCATCGCAGCCTTGGGTATTTTGGTCTGACTAGGATTAGGATGGTTGTGCTGTTATTCGTCGGAAGCCTAAATGTTCTCTTTTTTGGTATTTCCCTCTATTGACGCGTAAGAGGTCCACGGGATGAGAAGGACTGGCAGTATTAAGGCCGTTGCCACACAGCTACATAGCAGCAATAAAACATTCAAATATCCAAACATTTATACCAACTTACATTTGTAATATTAAGCTTAAAACATTCCATCTAAGTCCACATAATATGTGCCATATTTGCTTGGATTTCTCCTAAAAATATATATCAAAATCTAAGTCGGCTGTGAATTCACCTTAGCTTAATGCCTGAGTGAAGAGTTTTAGATATAATAGAAACATATAAAGGCTTGTGTTTGTAATGTTTATCAAACTTTCCGCTCCCGCTGCACGCACTTTACGGACACTTTGTGGCTGTGAGAAAATCCATCACTCCATTTGTTTTCGTGAGTGTTGTATGGGTGGATTGTGGTATAACCACTTAGTTCACGAAAAATGTAAAATAATTTACGTTTTACGTAAACCTTGACAACCCGGCGATGGGGCTGCGATAAAATTGCGCCTGTTCTCTCTGTTCGTGTAACGTCTGTTCACGATACGGACTTAGAAAAAAGGTCAGAAAACACCATGAATTATGACCGCATTCATGGTGTTTTAGTCGTTACAAAGTCCGTTATAACCTAGTCCTTGCATATCACTAACAAAAATGTTCACATCCAGTGTTGCCATTTTAGAACATTTGGCGCTAGGTTTAGTGCAATTCTAGGTTCTATAGTCCTTTTTTAAATTTCTACGTGCTAAAAATATCTAGTCTACTAGTCTACTAGATATTTAAAAAAAGCGCTGTAGGCCCTAGAATTGCACCAGATTTAGCGCAAAATACGCTGAAACGGCAACACTGGTCACATCGAATATCTCACTTCAATTACAGTTATATTATGATTAGCATAATCATGATTGAAAAATCTTTTCAAGTTTTCTTGTAACGTGTAAAGCAATCAGGGCCATGCTCTCACTGAGTACCAGCGTTAAATAGCAGGTAAACACTATTCTGTTTCGTATGGTAAGTGTAGAGGACCCCTTTTTACTGGAAACGAGGCATTCCATCTTAATCTTCAGCGGTGACATCGCATCTAAATTTTTGTTGTTCTTAATCAAATATGGGTGTATCTATGAGTTATAGCATCCATTTATCATCAAATGAACTGTGTGCTCGTTTTTAACCTTTTTATTTAAAACATCTTAATAAGCAAGATGGCATCTCAGGATTTATGCCATTTCCTTCAATTTCATAGCACCAGAGTAATCCAATACTCGTAATTCTATTCCCCGGAATAAATGATATTGTGTTTATAGTTTACCGCTTTTAAGACGACACGACGGTAACCGAAAACGGAACTACAGAACTATAAGCTATCGTGTGTTCGATATTTATCCGGCAATTCATTAACTCACTTTGATAAACACAATCATCAAACATGCGGCATTTTTAGAAGTTCAGGAAATTATTAGGTTATTTATTGAATGTGATACGAGGAAAATGCTATTTTTATTCAAACTCCTTTGTAACCTTTGTAAACTTTGTTCAATTAATGTATATTGCATAATTTTTTTAAATACACTTTTTAAGAAATGAAAGAAGAAATGGTGAATTATTATGTTTTGAATTTATGTAACACAAAATCGCTGGGGAGGTGACTGATTTTGAAATAGGCTAAACAAGTAACACAGACATTTTAATTGAAAAGTAATTTTAATGTTAGCGTATGTACCATATAAATTCAAAAGTCAAATCATAACTACAACACAGTAAGTACAAGAAACAAATGACAAAAATAATTTATTTGGTTCCATCCAACACCCCGTTTCATTTCATAGGATGTCGTAAGCAGGGACTAAGGAACTGATAAAAAATATAATCGTTCCATATACATTTACTTGGCCACGCTGTAGTTTAATCAAAGTTGCAGCACGAATAGTTCGGCTTGACCGGGGATGGACCACGCTCTCCCATTATTCTTAGTATGGTCATTAACTGTATTTCTATTTAATATGAAAGAAAATTGGTTCTGAATGGAATAATGACCGAACTCGTCACTCAGAGCGAAGAATGCTACCAAATGATCTAACATAACTCACAAGCATTGTTTGTAACAATCGTCTTATGGCTTTCGTGTCGAACGCTTGGAAATTTCCCGAGTGATGACTTTCGTAACAATCGACGCAGCCTACTTTCCACAAAGGGCCTTGTGAATCTTATAATATTAAAGAGGGACAATTAACAGTCGAGTTATAGAGTGTTTGGAATCACAATATTGTGTGTGTATTGTATGTGTGTTGTTACAGAAATTTTACTTTATTAACTTCTCAGTGCGAAGTTATTGTAATGGGTCCGATTTTGCAAATTGGAATTTTTAACATATCTTCACGTTTCAAGCTCTTTAGAATCAAATAGTATGGTTTTAAGAGAATGTCCATGTGTGCACATGTACGTATGTATGTATGTATGTTCGGATTCAATTTTCGCGTCGTGTCGTCTCGAGAACGAAGAGTAATATTGACATGGGACCAGTTTCATTTAACGCATAATTAATTATGTAACTTAGACCTCATTAAATTTTGAACAAAATCGGACAAGTCGTTTTTTGTGCTGAATGAAAATTTGTATAAAATATTAAAGCATATGATATTTTTTTATTCTTTCCACTGGGAAGTTAGTCGTGTGAACCTTTCGGGTCGCACCTAGACCGCTTTTTAGTTTTATTTTTATTTTTATTTATAGAATGAAGGTGACAAGCGAGCACACAGTCCACCTGATGATAAGTGTATGCTGCGACCTATAACCATCCACATTCTCGACCAAAAAACAAAACACAGATGTGTTGTCACCTATGAGGACTAAAGTGAATGTCTCTTAAAACATCTCAATCCCTTTAAAAAAGTAGGCTGTAACTTTAACTTTAACCTTTAATGATAACTACTGTGACCACGGACGCCTGCCAGAAGGGAGGAAGATCAGCCTGGAATTGTACTTGAGGGCTCTCTTACAGTTCAACTCGAAACACAGCATTGAGGACAGCAGCGCTTGGCAGAAATATATGAGACGGTGGTACCAACCCAGATGGACTTCTGATCAGAAAATGAGCGCTATCACTTTAATATTAATGTGCACTTTGCAATATACCGTATATTGCATACCATAATTATGATGATGATTATTTCAGTTTATCAAGAGTCCAGTGCTAAATGTAGTATTCCCCCATACTTCTGTTTTTGCCGTTATTTACGCGTTTGACAGGCTGGATGATAGCAGTTATCAGGAAGATGCTGCTGCACGTATCCAGGTTTAGTTTACGACACCCATGAGATATTAAAAAAATAGGAAATATTAAAGATTAATATTTATGACATTTTGGTATGAAGAATATATATTTATGATTGCTTGTGTAACGGTGATTTATGGTTACCATCCAGTGTGCATAGACCTTTTCTGAGACATACTGTAATTTACCGCAATTATTTCCCAATTATTTTACCTCGAGGCAGCGTGATAGGACAAGCAAGTCGTTTCACAACTCATGTTGTACTAGTGACGGTAGGTAAAAATAAGTTGTAGAATATAAATGTATTATATTGTTCTCTATAGTTTTGACATTTTTACTGTTACCTACTTTTCAAAGAATATGTCATTTATGTTCCCATATTAAATCACTGTCAAAAATAGACTTTTCCCATAGTTGGGAGAATGTGCCAGAATCCGCTAGACGGATTTGCGATACCGGATCGCAGCACCAGATGATGTGTCTCAAAATTTTTTCAATCTGATAAAATAATGAGATGCTTGAACCTGCGTCTATTAG